AATGGGAGCTGTGTGTTACTCACCCAGGAATCCCACAGGTAGCAACAATCCTTGGAGTAGAGGCTGTTTCACCCTTGCATGGAGCTCCCGAAACCAATGGGTCTAAATGTTTTCATCATCAGGATGCTTTAGCACTAGGGTGTGCCTCTCTAATTTGACATGTAAAGTTATGATGCTTTCGAATGACTTCTTTCTCATATAAATTATTATTATTATTTGAGATGAAGTCTCGCTCCGTCGCCCAGGCTGTAGTGCAGTAGCGTGATCTCAGCTCACTGCAACCTCTGCCTCCTCCCCGACCACCCGGGTTCAAGCAATTCTTCTGCCTCAGCCTTCCTAGTAGCTGGGATTACCGGTGTGTGCTACCACGTCTGGCTAATTTTTGTATTTTTGGTAGAGTCGGGGTTTTGCCATGTTGGCCAGGCTGATCTCCAACTCCTGACCTTGTGATCCACCCGCCTCAGCCTCCCAATGTGCTGTGATTACTGGTGCGAGTCATATAAATGAGAGCCAATTTGAGGCTAGTCCTTTTGAATGTCACTGTCACTTCTTATACTCTTTACATTGCACAGAAAAAAGGGTGGGAAAATGGGGGAGCATCCTAGCCAGGCTCCAGAGATTACATATAACCCTCCCATCTGCAGGTTTCCTTTAAGTTATTCTGCTAAGAGTAAAAAAATAGTTATTAACACATTATCTTGGTGTGTTTATTAACTGATTTAACTCACAGCAACGTTGGACAGTAAGGAATATTATCATTGAATAGGGCACAGAGAAGTGAGGTCACATGCCCAAGGCCATACTGTAAGAAGTGGCAGTATTGGGATTTGAACCCAGGCCCTTTAGCTCCAGAGCTTGCTTGTTCTTAACCACTTTGCTAGAGGAATATCTGTTGACCACCTAGAACTTCATGGACATTTTACATGATCTGTGTGTTCCCAACTCTGAGAAGTAGTTTTTGTCATCCTCATTTTACCAAAGGGTCCCCTCACTAATAAATTGTGAAGGCAGGATTTGAATCCTTATCTGTCTTGTCCACAAACTTCTGTTGTTTCCCATAGAACAGTATCTTTAGATGGGAATAACGCTCAAATATCTTTCTAGTGGATTAGCTGGGTTGTTCTATCTAAATTTTGCTTGGCCTCAGCAATCCAAACCTAACATCAAAATTATAATCTAAAAGTATAAAATAAACATAATAATAGCAATAAATAATATTGAGTGCTCACTGTGTACCAGGCACTGTTCTAAGCACTCTACATGTGTAAATTCACTAATTCTAACAAAGAATCCATAGTGCTTACCTACTTTGGAAGTTTAGATTCGCTGATCAAATATAATGTGCTGTTAAATAAATGCATTCTGTTTTTAAGAGAAAAATATCTGTTGCTCATCTCAAAGAAAACAGGCACACTCAAAAGTAAATGCCTCTTTGTTGGGACTAAAACGTGTTTCCTACATTCTGCATGGCTTCACAAAAACCTATATATCAAGAGTCTTTTAGGTGGCCCAAGTATGACAAATCTTTTTCTAAACATCTAGAATCTGAAAAGGGACACATTGCCCCTAAATCTAAGATCCCATCAAATGGAACTTTTGGCTTAGAAATATCAAAAACCTTGAAGATGAAAACCTTCATGGATTTTGTGAATAATCTGGTTTAAAGATATTTTTATTGGACTGTGGGGTTGGAATAAAAGAAAAGTCGTAAAGGAAATTGTAAGGCAACAGTTCTGACTGAAAATCTAAATCCTTTGTCATCACTTCAGGGATACAAACCCCAATACTCCTCGGCTGCTGAATGGACTCGAGGGCGCGGTCATGTTTCACTGCAACCTCTGCTTCCCAGGTTCAAGTGGTTCTCCTGCCTCGGCCTCCTAAAGAGCTGAGACAACAGGCTCATGCCACCACACCTGGCTGGTTTTTGTGTATCTAAATTTTTGTAGTGACAGGGTTTTGCCATGTTGGCCAGGCTGGTCTTGAACTCCTGACCTGAAGTGATCCACCCACCTTGGACTTCCAAAGTGCTGGGATTATAGGCATGAGCCACCATGCCTGGCCATGGACTCAGATATTTCAATGAGCAGATTTTACTTCTCAAGTTTAAGGACCAAGAGATGAAACCGGCTGAGAAATATATCGAATATTGAAACTAACGTGGTCATTAAACTTGATGAGGGCAGCACAGTAGACCAGAAAAGGGCAAAACAAATGATCCTGAGGCACCCACACATAAGCAGGAAGTCCCCAAATGGGGTATGGTACATTTTCAGTTCTCTGGAAATCTGAAAAGAGCAAAAACTGGGGATCTACATACAGAGAAATGCTGTGGAGACAGTAGGAAGGGCTTGAGGGAGCTGCCATTCTGTCAGATCAAATTAATAGCATTCTTAAAGACAGAATCCTCTGGAGCCCCTTGCTCTCCTCCCTACCAGCTATTCTGCCAGGAAGCTGGTGGCCAACAAAGCAGGCAGCTGCGGTTCCTACTCCAGGCATCAAGACAACTGAAGATGCTGCTGTTAACACAGAAGAGGTAACAGCCATGCTGCTTGGTGCAGCCTCCCCACTCCCTGCTGCTTGTCAGTGGTACATTCTATAAGATCCTAGAAGATCCGGACCACAAAGGAGGCACTCACCCATGTCCAGTTCTGCACAGGGGTATATGTCATTGTGATTGCAGCCTTTCTGGTCAGATCTGCCTTCTGGGGAAGTGGGGGACAGGGATTATCACCAGCTGGATAATGAGGAAGAAGGGCAAGCTCTGTTGCTTCATAGTTGCACATTTCCTCCTAATACCCACTAGCGTTTTGACAAACTATGCCTTATGGGACAGCAGGTCGACACTGACATGATGGCCACCCAAGCAGAAATGCTGTCATAGAGAAAAGGGGAATCCCCAGCACTCTCATTGGGATAGATAACAATGGACTATGACAAGGAATCTCATTTGCAAAATTTTCCTTTGAAAATATAATGTAAGAATTTATAACTACACCAATGATTTTTTTTTCCTGATTTGCAAACGCCTGGACAAAGCCACATGAAATTAATTATTTTAATGATCACCTGATGATTTTATTTCCTGCTTTGAACCACTTAGTCTCTTCCGTGTCTCCTTGCACTCAATAGTGTTTCATACTCATGTTCGCTTCAGAAAATGTCCCCTAAACATTTTTTTTAAGAGATGAGATGTTACTTTGTCACCCAGGCTCAAGTAAGGTGGCACAGTCATAACTCACTACAGCCTCAAACTCCTGGGCTCAAGTGATCCTCCTGCCTCAGTCTCTCAAGTGGCTGGGACTACAGGTGAGTGCCACCACCCCTAGCTAATTTAAAAAATTTTTGTAGAGACAGGGGTCTCACTGTCTCTCTTGAATTCTTGGGCTCAAATGATCCTCCTGCCTCAGCCTCCCAAAGTGTGGGGATTACAGGTGTAAGCCACTGCCCCTGGCCCAAACATTTTATATTACACCTTTTAACTCACAGCTGTGGCTACTATCCAATAGCTCATGTTATGTCAACGATTACTTATAGATACATCTGGAGAGAAAGTGCTTGTCGTGGTCTTATTTTTCTATAATATGCTAGAAAATAACAAGAAACAGGCAGACTGTGAAACTGTGATAGCATCCAATTTCAAATAGTTGTAAAACACCTGTTTGCAAAAGCAGTTAAACCTTTTCTATGCAAACTCTTTCATGCAAAGTCCTTATGCCTTAAGACAGCTCCCCAGGAGGAGCTGATTATGATGCACACCTCTTTCCCGACCAAGAAAAGCCATCTCAACTCTAGAAAAAGCTGTCAAACTCACCTGTTCAGGGATTCCTAAGCCATGGGAGTGACAGAACACGAAGAATCAGAAATATAAAAAGTCGTTCTCCAAGGTGGATTCCCAGCCTCTGGGAGCAGCTCTCCTTTCATTCTTCCACCCCAACCCCTCCCACAGGCAGCAGACTCCCCAAACAACAAAGCCCAGAGGTGGCCGTTCTCCAACTCCTACCAATCCCAGCTCACATCTAGGGAGGACATTCTGCTCTCCTAAACAAGGGTTTTTGACCAGGGCCTCTGCATTCAGCTTAGGTCCAGTGCAAAAAGTTTAGAAGTTTGAACTTGTACAGATAACTCAGTTTCTTGGGTGTGACCCATTTAAACCAGGTGATTTTTAAACGCTCTTTCAAAGTCCGATTTTATTAATAAATAAAATCATCCCATCATAAAGGAAGCAATGAGAAATCTGTGGAGTGAAGACATATCCATCAACATGGGGCACCCTGAACATTAAACTGTTTGGTGGAAGGAACAGCCATCACTTTCAATTTCTTTTCTTTTTAAAGCAACTTCCAGAGAATAAGCTATGTTAAATAAAATCAAAACAGGAAAAGCCACATCTAGGTGGATTTCAAATAAAATGACGCCTCTTTGAAAAAAACAAAAACAAAATCTCAATGCCTGGTGAAGTTTGAGGGGTCTCATCATCACAGAGCCATCAGGAAGCGGCTAGAAACAACTGAGCAGGGTTTCAAAATGACTGGTACAGGATGTGCCCATAGAAAGAAATGTTGCGCGCACTGGCGGAGCTGCCAAAGTTACTACTGCAAAGTACCCTGAACTTTTAAAGGGTGGCTTGGGGTCACTCTGACCACAGTCTTCCCAATCTAGTCGCCTTGCAAACACGCTAGCCCTCGAGATATTTGGCGGCGGGGGGAGGGGAGAGATGCGCGGACCAGTGAGCAGGCGGGGGGAGAAGCCCGCGGAGCTCTCGGGTCGCCGGTAACAGGAAGGTTTCGCTTTCGTCTGGGGAGGGGGAGGGCAACGAGATGGCAATGAACTTCCTCCCCCGAGAGACCCCGTGGGTGAAGTCGGCAGAAGCGTCCCTGCGCGGCCAGCTGTCTCCCTCTCCGCGGCCAGCCGGGGCAGGGGCGTGCTGGGGGCGGGGGCGGCCACGATGCCCCGGGAGGAGACAGCGGGGTGGCGAGGATGAGCCCCAGAAGGCGCCTTACCTGTGCCGCGGCGCGCTCAGAGCCCGGGACCCGGCCGAAACGCGCAGGTGCTCGGGGGCGTCCTGGGGACGGCTTGGGCGGGCGGGGCGTCCATCGTGCCCTGCTTGCTGCGCTCTTCCAGCCGCGGGAGGCTGGGGAGGGGGCTCCCCTCGGCTTGGCGCCCGTCTCTCCTCCACCCAGCTGAGGACACAGCGGGTCCCGCGGCGGCGGCAGCAACAGGCACTGGCGGACGGTGGCGGCACCAGGAGCAGCAGCTGAAGAGGAGGAGGAGGAGGAGGAGGAGGAGGAGGAGGAAGAGGAGGAGGTGTCTGCGCGCGGCTCTCGTTTCCTCCTCCCCGGCTGGGCGAGCGCTGGAGAGGCGAGGGGAGGACAGGAGCCGGGATCTTCCCACTCGGTCCCCGGAGAGCTGGGAAGGGGACTCGGTGCCCTCCTCTCCCCCACTGCGCCGTGTGACTGTGCCCGGGCAGCGCGGCCCGGACGGGCGAGTAGCACGCGAGCAACAGCTGCTGCACTGCAGGTCCGCCGCGGCCTCCCTCGCCTCCTTGCCACCCCCCGCCCCCCAGCCCGCGGGCCATCCTCTGCCAGTGTCTGTGGGGGGAATGGGGGGGGTACTCGGGCTGCCGCCCCATCCAGCCCCCTGCGCAGGATCTGGGCACAGTGTTTCCCTGAGGAGCGGGGGACTCGAGGCCCCGCGCGTGATGCAGGCCCTCGTGGCGGGATGTGCAGTTGCACACCCTGTCCTTGGCGGCCTATTTTTAGCAGGTGGCACTGCCCGCCTCTCGCTCGGCCTGAATGGCTCTCAGCAGGTGGCACTGCCCGCCCGTTCTCCCGAAGGAGCCTCGCCTCATCTGCACCATCCCCTTCTCCCTCCGAAACAGACGTGGTAGAAACTGCACAAAACATGGGGGGCGGGGGCCAGGGGGACGACCAAGCCACCTAGCTCTTCCCCCCCTTGCCCCTTCCCCCCGTCCTTGGATGATGGCAGGGGGTGAACTGAGGCACAGATGCCCTATGGGGCGCTGGCAGGCAAGGCAGGAAAATCTGGGACTCTGGGAAACAGCGAAGGCGAAGTGCCCTCCCGGGATTAAACACCAGGAAACTCCATTTCTAACCAATTGCGGGAGTGACGCAGAGCCTGGATTAGGCGCTTTTTCCTGCCCTGCGCTCCCAGCACACGCGCAGGAACACAAACACGCACAGGCACACGCACACCCCGGTGTGCCTGCCCCATCAGGTTTGGGGACATTCCTAGCGGTCTTGTAGACTGCAAAGAAAGACGCGTTTCGGAAAGGACGGAGCTCGCTGCCTAGGACTGGGGGATGGCAGTGTGCAAGAAACAGGCAAAGCTCCCAGATCCGTATCCCACCAGGCACATAGGCGCAACGTCACTGGCAGGGTGGGGAGAGGGATTTGAGAAAAGTAAGAAGCATCACATCCTCTCCAGAGACAAGTCTACGGGGAGGGGAGAGCCGGGTGCTCACAGGAGGCAGTTCCAGACACCCAGGTGGCATCTTTCTGGATTTCTTTTTCTTAGTGTAGCTGGAGGTGGATTTTAGGGAAGTAGCTGAGCGTTTGAGCTGTACCGCTGGACTTGAACTAAATCCCAGCAGGTGTGGTTTAGGCAAGGTGCTGGTCCTCTGGTCTTCATTCTCTTACCTGTTCAATGGGACCAATACACACCTTACAAGATCTTTGTGAGGACAAAGCAGGAAAGTGTATGTAAAGTGGCCAGTGCAGTGACATGGACGTACATGGGCCATAACTAAAGGCAGCGGCTATTATCAACGTTACTATGGCTCAAGAGGCAAATAGAAGGCCAAGGTCCTCACCGTACCAAGAACATTGTCTTCTTGAAGCCCACTGAGACTCTTGGAGGCTTTTAGATTAGGGCTGTCTTATGGCATTCCTTGATTTCTCTGGATGTCACATCCAGGGGAGGTATATTTAAGTGGACACAAGAGTCGTATTCACAGCTTGACTTAAAACTCTCGCAATAGTGGTAGCTATTCTTTATAGAGGGGTTAGTCGATTTGGGGTATTGTGCTAGATACTGTCTTTACATATTGTCACTAATTTACTCAAAAACTCTGCAGGACAAAGATTGTTAAATCCATCTAAGAAGAAAAATGAGAGGTTAGTGGGCTGGGCACGGTGGTTAACTCCTGTAATCCCAGCACTTTGGGAGGCTGAAGCAGGCGAATTACAAGGTCAAGAGATTGAGACCGTCCTGGCCAACATAGTGAAACCCCATCTCTACTAAAAGTACAAAAAAATTAGCTGGGCATGGTGGCATGTGCCTATAGTCCCAGCTACTGGGGAGGCTGAGGCGAAAGAATGGCTTGAACCTGGGAGGCAGAGGTTGCAGTGAGTTGAGATCACACCACTGTATTCCAGCCTGTTCCAGCCTGGTGACAGAGGGAGACTATGTCTCAGAAAAAAAAAAAGTTAGGGCCTATAGGACACTACAGGGTTAGTGGGTGCTGGAATCGCCAAGATCCAAAACCCTTTATAATATACTTGCTCTCTGGCCACTGTGTAGCCCTCCACTGATTCTTTGTCATAGAACAGTTATTTGTGTGTGTAGCCTCAACTCCTTTTTAAAAAATATACAGTCATAAATACTATAATGAGTAGAATGTTAACTGGGTTATGGAAATTATTCTTTAGGTTACAAGACCAGGTAAACCAGTTAAACCATATTGTTATCATTTGGATCATACCCCAATTGTTTCTTGTTTTTACCTTCAAGTCTGTTGCGGAGTTTTCTTTCCTTGTCTGCAGTGACGTGCTGTACACATTTACCTCCACAGTGCTAGGATGTCGGGAAAGGTATGCTATCATTCATTTCATTGACACCCTAAACTGCTTTTTGTATGTAGCCCAACAGAGAAAGGTTGAAACTATTATCTAACATTACTGCCGGGCCCTGCTCCTGGGAAAGGGATCTGGCCAAGAGGAACAGAGAGAATTTGCGGGGCTCTGCTTACAGGACAGCCTGGCCAGAGCCTCTCCCATCCTGCCACTCCACTCCCTTTTCTTCCCCTCACTTGCTCACCTCCTCCACCCTCCCTTCACCAGTACCCCCAGTCCCAGAGTACAGGAAGGCTTAAATTCAGGTAGCCAGCCAGGTGGAGTGCTGAACCAGAATGCAGATGTAGAAAGTGGATGGGTGGGGCCCAGGTGCAGGCCTAGGCCTCATATCTCTCAAAGCGTTGACATCCAGCAAGTTCCAGCTCAGAGATTTATAACTTAGTGGCAAAGGACCATTTGTCTTGACCCTCACCTGGATTAGGGAGAGGTCATGGCCTTGTGAGCAGCAGCAATTTCTGCATCACTTTTCCAGCTCCCAGGACAGCTAGCACCCTAAGAATGATAAGGAGGGATTTTACCATACTTTCAACTTATGGGAAACAGAACTCCCTCTATAATATGCAATAAGGACTTTTTAACTTCTTTTTTAAAGCTATACAGCATTATCTTAGAAATTAGGGAACAGGCCGGGCGCGGTGGCTCACGCCTGTAATCCCAGCACTTTGGGAATCTGATGCGGGTGGGTTACCTGAGGTCAGGAGCTCGAGACCAGCCTGGCCAACATGGTGAAACCCCGTCTCTACTAAAAATACAAAAATTAGCCAGGTGTGGTGGCGGGCACCTGTAATCCCAGCTACTCGGGAGGCTGAGGCAGGAGAATCGCTTGAACCCAGGAGGAGAGAAGTTGCAGTGAGCCAAGATAGTGCCACTGCACTCCAGCCTGGGCAACAGAGCAAGGCTCCCTCTAAGAAAAAAAAAAAAAAAAGAAATTAGGGGACAGCCTGCTATCGATCTATTTAGGTTTTCTAGCAGTTGTAGAAAAAATAGTAAAAGGGACTTTGAAGCAGATGATGATACCTGGCACGGCAGGATGAAGACTGTCAAACAGGGAGGGAAGATCCACACTGGCCCAGTGCAGAGAGCAGAGGTAAGGGCTCACCACTCAGCTCTTACCTGCAGGTGCCACTGCTCTAGGAGGGAAGTAGCTCCTTCCTCTTGATATGTGGCCATGTGACACCTAACAGAGCTGATACACACTACGGCAGAAGCGTGGGCCAATGGGGCCTTGGTGATGGCAACAGGGAGCTCTCTCAAAGCCCAGGAAGGTGTTCTGTTGGTCCCTCTTTAAGTCAGCAATAACAAAATTAAGTATAGGGCCAAATGCTCCTGTGATTCTGCTTCAGGCTTCTGATTCTCCTGAGGAGTGTGACCCAGGAGCACAATGAGTGTGGAGCTCTTCACCACCAGGGGCATTTAGCCGACATCAGTTACTGACCCATTGGCTCAGCGACGGTCTGATGGGAAGACACGACAGTCATGGCTGCTGCACTTTTCTTGTCTGGACAACTTCTGCACCTCCGCTCTTCCCTAAATCCTGCCATGGATCATTTTTTTAGAGCTTCTCCCATAGACTCTTTCCTAATTTAGCTATTTGTAGCATAATTAATTATTCATTGCCAAAAGCCAGGAACATTAATATCAGCTTTAAGATGGCTGCAGAGCTCTAGAAAATTGTGAATCATCAGTGCTATTAAATCACATGAGAAGCCCAGAGGCTGAAAGAAAACAGAGGCCACTTTACTTTTAAAATGTTAAGGCACTCATATATATATCTAGAATTAAAATCTTTGGTTGATGTAGAAGGAATATCTTTAACATTTATGCATTGTTAAATTCATCAGTTAAGTATTTAAATGTTCATATTAGTTAGGACTCCAAACTAATTATTGCTATATTTTTACTTAATTTCAAAATATGCATAATAAGGTAAGAGTTCTTAACTAGTGGGTCCATTTCCAAAAATTGGCATCAATAAAGGCAAAAAAATAAGACTACGCTGGCTAGAAGCCTAGGTTAGTTAGGTGGTTCAGTGGGTACGCTTGTTCCCATTGATGGGTGGTGACTTTCTGGAGCCCTGAGTGGACAAGGCTCGTGAGGTAAGTGCACGCTCAGTGGGAAAGGGTGCAAGATTGAGAAGCAGCACCTGCCTCAGGCATGGAAGGAGGCAGCATTGCAGCACCAATGCTGGGTAATTTGCCAACCCTACGAAACCAAGGCATAACGGTTAGATCTAAAGAGTACGTTGGGGTGGTGGCTCATGCCTATAATCTCAGCACTTTGGGAGGCTGAGGTGGGCTGATCCCTCGAGCCCAGGAGTTGGAGATCAGCCTAGGCAACATGACAAAGACTCTACAAAAAAATACACACACACACACACACACACACACACACACACACACACACATTAGCTGGGCGTGGTGGTGCACATCTGTAGTCCAAGCTACCCAGGAGGCTGAGGTGGGAGGATGGCTTGAGCCCTGGAGGTTAAGGCTACAGCAAGCCGTGATGACACCACTGCACTCCAGTCTAGGTGTCAGAATGAGACATTGTCTCTAAATAATAACGATAATAATATAGAGTCTGTTAAGTTATGCCCAAATATCTTATTTTTTTTTCTTTTGAGACAGGATCTGGCTCTGTTG